CATCCACACTGGTAAAACCCTCACTTGGAAGTAAGTCCCAAAAAGCTCACTGGTGGAAGGCATCTGCGGCAATACGGCTTCACTAAACCTGAGAAGAGAAAAGAGGGCCCTGGTGCCTGCAGCTCCTATATGTGGGGTCTTGAGTAAATTCCCTCTCAGCAAGTGGGCAGTCCCAGAGGGAGGCTGCTAAGAAACCGCGTGGGCTGGCAGGCAGGGACAGCCTGTTCCCCCCCGGCAGGGTTTCTGCAAGACAGGGAGAACAAGCCCTGTGTTGCAGTCTTTCTTGCTACTAGGCCTATGTTTTCTTCCTCTTTATTTCATTTAATGATGGCTGCTCCACGTCCTTTCACTATTTAGTGCCAGCTTTTCTCCGAAGTAGTTGCCGCACTACCGTGTTTCCATTAGTTAGGGAGAATGAAGGCCGCGTTTGCTCAGGTTCTGCCGATAGGAGCCTAGTTGTGCTGGTTGCTTTTCTACTTGCTGCAGAATAGTTGTCTCTGCTGACAGCCTGGTTCTGAGGTGAATACACAGGTCTGGTCCACGCAGGCTGCCGTGACATTCAGGGCAGAACGGTACTGAGAAGGTTTCTTGCTCTGTCACGCTGCAACTTCAGGATTTGCCTCTTACACACACCTCTTAGCCTCCTCCACCCCACTGCTTCCAGTTTCTTTCCAGGCTTCTCTCCCTCCCGCTGAGGGGATTTTTCTAATGTTCTCCCACTAGGAAGATGCTAGTTTTCATTTTTTTTCTGTACAGTGTTTTTGTGTTGTGTAGCTTTCCCTGTGTTACTTTTAGCCTGGGATACCTCACTGGCTGAAGAACAGTTTGGAGTAACAGAGGCTGTTCAGCACCTATGGCTTGGGGCTGGATCCTCCAGCGGCATTAGGTATTGCCATGGTCAGCACTCTGCCTTTTAGTTGTCCTCAGCCCTGATTTAGGAGCACTAAGAGCATGTGGGAATAAATGGCCTGTTGGAAAATTGGTGGGAAACCCACTGAGAAAAGAGTGGTTTAAATAGATGGTAGTGAAATGAAAAGAGGCAGTTGCTTTGCTTAAACTGAGTACAACTGCTCGGAGTAAGCACTCATCTCTGGGCAAGCAGCTGTCCCCCTCCTATTGACGCTTTTGAGCCTGGTGAGAGAGACAAATCTGACAGGGACTACGGAATGGGGCTTTGCCGGCAACACCGTCAAAGGGACCACCAGGTAGTAGATGTCCACACGTGGTTGTCATGTCCCACCTAGGAGAAGGGGAGAGTGACTAAGATCCGCAAATCCCCTCGGCGTGGATTAAGGTGAAATAACACTCAAGGTCCAAAAACAAACTCCAACTTTAATGGCACGAACGCTTCTATAAACATCAACCCTCTATGTCTTAATACATAATACAAGCTAAGCGGCTTTGTGAGGAGTTGAGGTAGGCCTTGTATTGCTTAACAACATCAAAACAGAGAGTGAGAAGGGAGAGGAGAAGAGAGAAAGAGAAAGGGAGAACTGGGAAGCAGGAGAGAGGTAGAGAGAGAGAGAGATAAAGAAATCACCAATCCTGGATCCAGCGTTGGACCTGCCAACGGGGGGTGTCGGTGTGGAGAGTGCCCCCCCGGAGGCTCACGTGCGCCCCTATTTATTGGCTCCAGCCCAAGGTTTCTAGAGTCTTCTCTCACCCCAGCTCCAGGAGTGGTTGAGACATTAGTCAGCCAAGGAGAGTGACACCGGGCCCCTCCCCGTGGCTGGCTTCTGGAGCTTTCCCTGGGGCATTGTCTGTGCTTACAGCACAGCCAGGTGGGCCTCGTCCCTTACAGTGGTCCATGTCTAAACTCCTGTTTTCATCAGCCTAGAAGCCAACTAGACTTAGGTATCTACTGTAGGCTGGGCTTAACCTCTATTATCAAGATTTCCACTGACTATAACGAGGGCTTTGGAAAGCAACTGAGACCTATATGTGGCCAGCAGAATTCGGGAGTTTTGGTCCTTCAGCTGAATCTTGTCCTTATTTTCTCCAAGGCCTTGAGACAAATGGGAGAGGTAAGAGAGGCTGCTTTTGGCAGGGGTCTAGCACTCTCGCTCCCACGCTGAGGAAGGCAGGGTTAGGTGGGGCTGGGTGCTGGCTAGTTGCAGCGTACCACTGTAAGGACAGACAGCGCGGTCGCAGGCTGCTGAACTTGCAACTCTCACCTTGTAACCAAGGCAGGTGCCGCACTCGCCTGTGGCTGATATTCACTGTTGTGTTATTCAAACACCGTATCTGGTAGGAGTTTCATACTTGCCGTCATGTTCTACATCAGTCATTATTCTCTGTAAATATCTACCCAACATACTACAGCTGTTCCAGCCTACTAGGTGTATACAAATAGAACTGTTTAAAGTAGTATTTATACCAAATGTATACCTGTTAAAAAACCCCACAAACACAAGAATGCTTCTTTACCTGATGGAGCAGAACAGCTTAATCTATCAAACACGTTTGTTCTTCCCTTTTCCATGACTCTTGGTCTGGTTTTCACATGCCAGAAAAAGAGCTATTTTGATGCTATTGGCTTCAGTCACTTTGAAATATATAGCTTTTGGCATGAAGTCACATCCTTCGACATTTTTCATCTCTGTAAGAATGTTTTTTCCCCTTCTTTAATGTGGCTACAGCATGTACATTAAAATATTTTGAGTAATGTTCAAGCAGCTCTGTGTTTTCTCTTATCCATATCCCCCTGGATTTTAGCATTTCATGACAGACTTTGATAATGCCAGTATTACATGGCCCAGAAAATCATTAGCTGGAACAGAGATCTGAAGTGATGGAAAATCAAGTGGGAATGGCAGTGTTCTCCCCTCACCGCAGGGCAGCTGGCATACAGCTTTGGTCCCGTGCCCAGTTTTGACACCGTCACCGTGTTTGCAGGTACCGCACAGGCACAAGTGCCCCAGCACCCCCCTTCCACAGCGGTGCCAGGCCCTGTGGGGAGCAGAGCCTGCCGGGCTCCTCGTGCCGCTGCCACCCGTCTCCTGTCCTCCCCTTCCCCGGCTCCATGCAGGGAGGCACAGTGAGGATGGCGCCTTGTCCAGCAGAAGTGTATCTGCAGCTTTCTGCTATTTGCGTGCACTTCACCTACCACAAATCTTGCCCCCCCGCCCCCCCCCCACCAACAAAAACGCCCCCCCCCAAAAGCATTGGGCAGTACTTGGCATGGGCTGGGCTGGTCCTTCAACCCCACCACAAGAGAAAGCAAGGAACGGGACAGCTCAGTAAGAGGTGTCCCCTAAACAGGGGTTTAATGGCCACAGCGCTCACTTCACAGAGGTACAGGAGCCAACCTGCGCCAAAGCAGGCTGCCATGGGGTGGTACTGTTGCTCCAAGCTGCCTGCGCTGAGCGAGACACCAGATGGACAAGGCCCAAGGTGTTTGAACATCTGCTGCAGGTGCAAAAGGAGGTTAAAGCTGGTGGAGCGGCTTGGAGTGAGCTTTTCCAGGCAAAGGGCCTCGAGTCACGGGCCCTGTTCCATAACAGCAAATGATTCAAGTCTTATTGCGCTCCAAAGTGCTCTCAATAGCAGCACCTCATCCTTTTCCCCTCATCCCCTGCTATTATTTTACTTAAACAGTTTTTACAGTAGAAAGCTCTGCTCTGGAAAATTCAATGGACTGAATTAGACAACAGAAATGGTGGTGACAGTAGAACAGCATGTGTATGTGTACAGCCCCCCCTCACATACAGCCGAGGGTCGGGGTTAGCTTGACTGTGCAGCTCTTTCTGCAGAAAACAGCCCAGGGGAGGAAGAACCCTGCATTTAATTCTTTTTTCTTAGGCATCTGCTTTACAGCGTTATTCCTGCCAAATATTTATTAACCTACAAGCAGAGAGGGCTCTGCTTTACATTAAGAAACAAACTGTTCATTTTCCTTCTCCCCACAAAAGCGTTAGTGCTTTCTCTGAGCTGGTCTGTACGTTGCTGATTTGGAAGACGTTTGTATCGCTACTGATGGCGAGGCTGAGAGAGGATTTCACAGGCCAAAGCTAGTCCAGGTTGTCCAACGAGATAATGCAGTCAGGCTGACTAAAGGAGAGCTGCTCTTCTTCCTGAAGATTTGTGAGATGGCAGCATTTGTACTTGGCTTCAAAGTCCCCTGGCTCTTCTATTAACATTTCCATCCTGGAACAGACAAAGAATCACACCCTTATTTACATAATTCAGCATTCATAAAACCCCTTTGTGTATCCCTGAGAGCAAAATGAATTATGCACTAAATGGATCTGGCAAGTGTACAGGCAGCTAAAGCACAAGATTTCAGCTGTGGCAGCTTTCCTGAGGGAAGCCATCAATCTGGGAATCCCTCTCTCCCCCCAGCCCCATCCACAGTACGGAGCCCGAGGAGGATGGTGCCTGGGGAGTCCTTACAGGGAGGATGGGGAAGCCCCGCTCCCTTCCATTCTGCCTTGGGTGGGAGGGAAACACATGCAAGCCCTGGGTCTAAAAATGGTCAGGCCTTTTGTTTCTGAAATTCAGATTTTGCAACCATTTCCAGCTCACAAATCAAAGGTGGAGGTTTGCCGCTGCCAACTGTCCTCGCAGCTTCACAATGGAAAATAGAACTCTGCCGTTCTGTGTTTGCAATCCTCCATGCCCTAAGAGCAGCGTGAGGAGGGAAGA